CAAAAGAAACATTGGAGGTACTTGGGATTTTTTGTTTTTAATTTTTAAAATTGTGATAAAACACACATAAAATTTACCATCTTAACCATTTTTAAGTGTACAGTTCAGTGGCATTAAATACATTCACATTGTTGTGTGACCATCTTCAGAACTATTTTCATCTTCCCAAACTGAAACTCTGTGCCCATTGAATAAAAACTCCCCCCAGCCACCCTTCTTTCCATCTCCATGAATCTGACTACTCTAGGTGCCGCATATAAATGGACTCTTACCATATTTGTCTTTTTGTGACTGCCTTATTTCACTCAGCATAATGTCCTAAAGGTTCATCCATGTTGTAGCATATGTCAGAATGTCCTTCCTTTTTAAGGCTGAATAATATTCCATTGTGTGGATACACCACATTTTGTTTATCCAGTCATCTATCCATGGCTACTTGGGTTGCTTCTAGCTTTTGGCCGTCAAGAATGAGATTGTTACTAACATGGGTATACAGATATAGAAAGGGCACCTCATTTTAAGAGGTGCTTCTTATATCAGATAAGTACGAGTAGCTTATAAAGAGCCCTCAGCTTGTCGACAGAAGAAGGGAGAGGATCTTTTGATGACACTGTGCTAAGCTATTTCCCTCTTCCCCTTATTTAATGCTTGCAACAACCTATGAGGTGGATCCTTTCAGGATTCCCGTTTTACAAACAAGGGATCCAGAACTCAGAGAGGCTGACTCATTTCCCCAGGGTCACACAGCTGGTCAGTGCAGATTAAATTCTGTCCTCACTTGCAAATAATGGGGTGGGGTGGGGAGAAAACCATTTAGTCTGATGCTGACTAGAGCAGTTTCATNCCCCTTTTTGGGAAACCTCACAAATTCTTTGGCTGCAGAGCTTTTTTTTCTTGGAGAGATGGAGGACTGGGTTGATTATACCTGTGGGTAAAGTCAGCCAGCAATTTTGTGTTTTTCCAGCCCAGAGTTTACATGAGTCCACACAAATAAATCACCATTCCTGTCTCATTTACTTTACAGATTCAGTTACTGGAATAAATTTTTATATGAATAACCAAAAGCAGCAGGAAGTACCAGGAGAGAGGAAAGAGAAAAGAAATATTTCAGAATGTACTAAATATTTGAAGTTAAAAAATAGCCCTCATTATAGGCAGAATGTGGTCGAATAGAATGTCATTTTCCTAATTACCTTTCCTAGATCCCCAATGTACTGGGCTGAATATTATAAATAAAAATAGCATGCATAAACTTCCTAGCAACAAAAGTTCCCAACCAGGACGCTGTTCTCAGTATAATTTTAGGGGAAAGGAAAGTTTTAGTACCTTTGAAGCATAAGCATCCATTTATAGGAGTCTATATATACAAGTCGATCATTTTAACCAAACTCCTGTCTCTGTGAGGTTTTCCAAGTGACAGAGACAGCCAGGAAAGTCTGCCTTTCCCCTCCCTACCTGCTCTCTCCTTCCCAAAAGAATTACACTGTGTTTTTCCTATATTTTTTTTGAAATGGTCTCGGCCTTGCCCCAGGGGCCCACACCTAGTAAACTTCCCATCTGGCCTCTCTACCCAGGATGAAATCATTCTGCTGCTGGGAAAAGAAGTCAACCGCCTCTCGGATTTTGAACTTGAATCTAAGTACAAGGACGCCGTGATAGCAAACCTACAGAACGAAGTGGCCAGCCTGAGTCACAGGCTGTCAGAGACCACCCCGTCCAGACAGAGTGAGAGGGTGATGTCACAGAAGTTTCAGGGGCTGGACGAAGACATCGATGCCAGACAGATAGAGATCCAGAACTTGAAAAGCCTGGTAGGACTTGGAGACACCTCGATCGAGGCCTTAGAGTTGCGACACAGGGTGACAGCTGTCTGGTAGACAGGGGAGCCACCCAGACAGTTAGAAGAGGGGTGGTCAGGATAGCACAGCGGGTAAGAGAACACATCCCAGGAATTAGAGACTTGGCAGGTTCCCAGCCCAGTAAGAACAATAGTAACTTTATTAAGCACCTACCATGTGCAAGCCCTTTAGATGCTTAGTTAAACCTCACGACCCTCTGACACATACCATTCTACAGACGAGGAGACTGAGGCAGGCTCAGAGACGCCTAGGAATCTGGTACAGCTTGCACAGCGAGTTAGCTTTGGAGGTACAATTTGAACTCAGGTCTGCCTCCTTGCAGACCCCGTGCTCTCGCCCCTGCTTCATATTTCCAACTCTGTCGCTTCAGTGACCACCTGTCACACCCACCCAGCCCCCGCCAGAAAGAGCTGTGGGGAGTTAGCGAGAGAGGGGCAGGCGGAATCCCCTGGGTTCCAAACACTGAAGGTGGTTGCTGGCTCACTCGTGGGGAATGTCATCGAACAAAAATTCTCCACCCGGAATTCCTGGATGTACCAGTCATGGTCTTTCTCTTGAGACTAGCTCCCACTTTTGTTTTTTAAGAATGACTTTAAAATTGGCCATAGATCTTGTACGTAAGTTATATCTCAACAAAGTTGACTTAAAAAAAAGATACGGGCCACTGATGAATGGCCTCAGTGCTCAATGCTGCTTAAAGCCGTGGTCATGCTTGGGGCGTCTGTTCTCTGGTCCCCTGTCACTGCCTTTCCCACCCACAACCAATTTGAGGGGCACAGAGAAAGACATAGGTTGTGTGTGGTGCACCCAGGTACCTTCCAGAACTCTGAAAGGACCTGTTCATTCGTTCACTCATTGATTCATTCATCCATCCATTCATTCATTCACCCATTTGTTCATTCATTCAAGTAAATATTTGTGGGGTGCATACCCTGTGTCAGGCCATCTTTCGGGTGCTGGGAATTCAGCAGAGAATGAGGCAGACATGATCCGTGCCTTCCCCGCTTACGTCCCGGTGAGGGAGACAGAATAAACATGTGAACAAATATACGCACTAACATTTAAAAGAACACATGACTGTCCTTTCGTCCTGTTTTTGAAAAACAATGAAAGCAGCAGGTCCTACGGGAACGGCTGTAGACAGCTACCTTGACATGGAGCCGACTCATTCGTGAGCATCTTTTTTTTTTTTTTTTTTTTTTTTTTNTTCCGCCATTGTAGCTGGAAAGCAGCCACAGACAGTATGTGAATGCATGAGCCTGACTGTGTGTTAATAAAACTTTATTTACAAAAACAGGCAGAGGGCCAGATTTGTCCCTAGGGCCATAGTTTGCTATCCCCTGCTCTCCATCATTTCGTTTGATCCTCAAATAGCCCTTTATAACAGAGACTCTTTGCATCCTTAAATTGTATAGTGAAAACTAAGGCTTAGAGAGAGTAAATGACCTGCCCGAGGTCATCGGGTCTTAATGTGGCATAGAAAAAAGTCTGGGAAGAGACACATCAAAGTGAGTCAGCATAGTGAACACTGGGAACGAGGAATGAGGCGGCTCTCTCCCTTTCTATAATAGTACGTCTGTAATGCTTTCATTTTTTTTCCCAACGAACTCAGAACACCACTTTGTAATTTTTTTAATTGCATAGATGTAAATCTCAGTGGGACATGAATGTGAAGGTTAATCTGAAAATATTCTTCAAGACCTTGGGGAAACTCACAGCCTCCTCTGTGTTCCCTTTTGATCTTGTCTGTTAGTGTGGACTAATGCCGTGGAGCTGTCGGAACAGTCAGTGGCCGAGGGAATTCCCGGAGCAGGACCTTGCAGAGAGATTTTTGTGGACCAGGACCTGGCCCAGCAGGATAAGGTGAGAGGTCTCAGGGGAAGGACAGAGTTACAGCAGCCAGACAGATGGCAGAGGGACCGCCACCGCCTCTTGTTCTCTGTGGCCTAGAAGCGCCCTTTTTACTACTTCCAAGAAACCACCTCTTACTCCTAGTACATTCAACTAAAACTGGTAACTGCTCTTTTTATCCCAAATAACAACATCTACAGCCACAGTGTATTGAGCACCCACTGTGCACACTACCGCGTCCTGGGCACTTGACAGTCAGTGAGCTCGTTAATCTTGATGGTCTTCAAAATGGATTTTATCACCCTCACTTTACAGATGAGGGAACCGATGCTCAGAGAGGTTAAGTAACTTGCCTGAGGTTGCACAGTGTGAAGGGCAGAGCTGGGATTCAAACCCAGCTCTGGTTAATTTCTAAGCTGATACTTCCAACTCCCACACAGTACCTGTTTGGTCAGCCACGAGCGATGGGACAGTGGTGGGGAAAACACGCTTTCTAGCAGGAAGACATGAGCACTGAGGTCAGAGAGCTTTAGAGAGTGAAGCAGGAACTGGAGCCAGAACCCCAGCAATTGGGGAAGGGTCCAGGTTGATTTCTCCCTTAGACGCAACCTGAAAATTACCCTAAAAGAAGCGGCCGTACGCCATCTTGCTTTCCTTAAGGCCCAGGGCCCAAGCCGGCAGGACCTGTCGGAGTCTCATTAGACACNCACTTAACCTCTCTGACTCTCAGCATCTTCATTTTAAAAGGAGGATCGTGGTGCCCATCCAGCCAGATGAGGCACTCCGCACGTTCAGTGACACTAGTAAATGTTAGGGGGCCCATCCTTATTCTTTTATTCTTGTTTTCCTGGCTACGACCGCCTGCCTCCTCCATTTCAGTCGGCTGACATCGACAACCATCACGCGCTCATTGAATACAACGAGGCCGACGGCAGCTTCGTTCTCCAGGACTTCAATTCCCGCAACGGCACCTTTGTCAACGAGTGCCACCTTCAGAATGTGGCTGTGAAGCTGTTACCCGGAGACATCCTGAGGTTTGGGTCTGGAGGGCTGACCTACGAACTGGTCACCGAAAACCCATCCTCGGTGAGTACAAGCCGCCCACGGCGGGGCGGGGGGGGCAGTGCAGAGGTGCCATGCTGTGTCGCCTTCCGTGTGCAGCCTGAGGCTCAGATACAGCCAAAGGGGGAGCTCGTCCAAAGCTCCCTGATTTCATGCTGCTCATACAGTGACAGTCCCGGGTCTGGATTCTGCGAAGTTCAGACCTGTCTGAGTGGGGCCCCGGGAGGAGCGAGTCCTCACGCCCTCTTCTGGGCATTTTGTGGAATTGCACGCAAGAGTTTTATAGTGGCCCACACAGACCTATAACGTTTTCCTGAAAACGTGAAGCTTGGTGAGGGGAGGTGGAAAGCAGGTGTGTGCTTTTGAAAACTCAGCGGGAGATGCTTCCTTCGTAGGCAGGCCAGTGTTCTGTGGCTTCCTAGCTTTGTGACCTCTGCCAGGGCTCTTTGTATGCCTGGGCTTCTCAGTGGTGTGTGGCATCGAGAGAAGCTGTTGTTATACCCCAGATCAGAAATGTACCTGGGATCATGGCCTAAAGCATGGCCCCAGCTTAAACAGGATGTAACACGAAACTTGCCCATAAAAGCTCAGTCGCACGGAATGTATGGTTCACCAGGAAGGCAGGATTGCGCGGCGGTTAGCGACACAGCCTTTGGTCAGAACCCAGCTCGGCCACTTGCTTGTTCCGTTGCTCTTGAGCAAGCCATTGGACCACTCAGGACCTCAGAATCCTCATCTACAAAGTGGAGCCATTGACACCAGTGACCTTGCAGGCTTATCTCAGGGCTGAAGGAGATGGTTATAATTGTAAAACCCTAGCCTAGTGCCCACTCATGGTGAGCACACAATTATTATCTGTTGTGTGTGTGTCCCCGAGAGATAGTGTTTGTGTCTCACTCCCAGCACCAAGAACGCTGCATGGACTCAGACCTCCAAGGCTTAAAATTCTTTCTGGGACGAGGCTGAGTATGCATAAGTAAAATTTAGAGAATCCAAACAGAATCCTGGGGTTTGGGGCCCATCGGCAGCCCTAAATATGCGCTCCGAGAAGATCAGCGGCGTCCCTCAGGCTGCGTGGGCCATGCCACCACATCCGTCACACTTGGCTTTGAAAATCTGGGGGCCAGCCAAGTGGCACGATGGTTAAGAGCTGGCTTGGGACGCCAGAGGGCCCTGGTTCGGATCCCACATATGAGGGCCAGTGACACTGCCCTCTACAG